CGCCCCCAAGAAAACTCGCCCCCAAGACATTGGCCCCGGACTATCCGCCTCCGTAAGATTCGCCCAGAAAGATTCGCCCCGGAAAATTCGCCCCCGGCAAGTTCTTCCCCGACAAATTTGCTCCTGGAAGATTCGCCCCCGGCGATTCCGCTCCCGTAGGATTCGCCCCATAAGATTTATTAATCCTCGGAGGTAACAGAGCCAGCAGTTCATAAAATGAATTTTGTTTAATTTTAATTTTTTTTGTAATAACTGTGTTGATTTTGAGTTTGTTATAAACTCGTGTGAAAAAATAGTTTTGAGTATTGAAGATCGGTTTCATGTGGTGCTGGTAAGTTTTGTATTATTTTTTAATTAGGTAGTTAGATTTACTTAAAAAAAAGAATTTTGTGCACGATTTTCTAAGATTTTAAATATTACAATCCTAATAGACGAAGAGTTCATTTTATTGTAAATCAAACACAATATTTCACCTTTCGTAATACAAAAATCTGAAAATCAAACTGACAACAGCAAAAAAGGAACTCTTATGGCATCAGTAATAAAAACGTGTCTGTATTGTCATTTGTATACATAATAGTAGGACACAAAGTATATACTTACTAAATTCATTGTCTTTTTAAGATCTAAATTTTTGGTAAATGGTCAACGTTCAACATTTTTTGATCTCAAGTGGATACTTTGGACATTTTAAAACTCTTATGGTATTTGCACATTTTTTACAAAAATTCTCAAATTTAAGGCTGATCCGACGGGCTGAATTTGGAACAAGTACAAGAGTACCGTAGCAGACTAATTGCTACTTAACTAATAAATATATAAGCAAACTTTTTTTTTATATTTTAAAGAAATGGGATGTTTCGAGTTAGATTTTTTTAGATTATATTAATTATGATTTGATATTTCAGCAAACTTCATCAATGTTGGTGTTTTTCAACACAAATTTACATCAAATCTGGACCAATTTTCAAATGTAAGTCTAAAGAAAGAACCATCCTCTGTTTATACATTGATGCCAAAAACATTTCAATACATCCATAAATGGCTGAGTAATTAGACTCCTTTGTAAACGCAATTTGTTGTAAAATGTATTGTAAACATACGGTTGACGTTGTATTGTAAACATACGGTTGACGTTGAACCGTTGTATCAGCCTTTAACGGGTGAGAGACGATTGAATATGAACAATTTCGAGTTGTCAGTTTTGCCGTATTGAGTTCCAAATATCGTAATTTTTGCAAATATTTATTTAATTAATTTAAACCAACCTATTACTTCCGAGGGTTAATAAATGTTATGGGGCGAATGCTACGGGGGCGAATTTGTCGGGGCGAATATTCCGGGGGCGAATTTGTTGGGGGCGAATTTACTTGGGGCGAATATTCCGGGGGCGAATTTACTTGGGGGCGAATATTCCGGGGGCGAATTTACTTGGGGGCGAATATTCCGGGGGCGAATTTTCGAAGGCGAATTTACCGGGGCGAGTCTTCCGGGGCGAATTTACCGCACACCGAATCAACACGTATGACGTGACGTACGACGCATTGCACTTGTGGATGATAATTCATAATTGGGCACCAAAGAACGCCGGACCGCTCATAATAAGGTGACCGTGGTTTACGTCTATTGATAAAACTGGAAAATGGAAGAGAAAAGGCCAACCTGATGGGAAGAGGTATCTCGATATGGTTTTAGTTTTAATGGCGTATACCTCCATTTAAATACACAACAAGGAATCTGTTTTCTTAATTCCGTTCAGAATTTGTTAAATTGCTGTTTTTCCTTTTGCGAAATCATATTGAATTTAATCGATTCCGTAGCTACGTTCCTTCTGCGCCAAACTTCGATTAACCAAACAAAGATAGCCACTGTGTTTTTTTTGTAATCTTTCATTTTTTGATTTGAAAGCATCCAGGTCAAGATATTTTGTTTACATTCTGAGAATTCAACATTTGAGCAATCTAAGATAATGGTAGCCTGTCGTAACAGTCTCTAGGTATACGATATAACGGGCGATCAAAAATGAGTTGCTGTCGAGTCGCCTTTGGAAATTCATTTCCCATGTAAACAAAAATTTCAAAGGTGACTCGAAAGCAACTCATTTTTGATCGCATAGTAGTAAACAAATAGTAAATAACACATTTACAAAGTATCGGATAAGTATGTTTTTATTATTATTTAAGTAACCCAGTAACTGAAAAAAATGAACGTAGTTCAATAAACTGCAAGATAGATTCCTTTCAGACGAAACGTAAGCGAAGACGAATGTCTGCTGTATTGTGTGTTGCATGTTCCACCGAAAACTAATTTCACATTCGTTATTGTTGTCAAGAGCTCAAGACACCAAATTTTGTCGAGATGAAAATTTGTTTTCACTTTTCACACTCCTTTTGCAGGGGTGCACCATGTTAGAGCAGGATTTGTGGCAACGGATTTGCAAAATCAGAAAGGGCGCAGCAAAAAAAGGCATAGATAGCCGTTAGTTTTTTGGAAAAAAATAAAATAAAATTCTGTGTTTATATCTTTGGACGCACGGATATAACGCGAATATAACGGAATTTTCAAAATTACAATTTTTATGATTCTCAAAAGGTGCCAACCAAGGATAACATAAATTACTTATTTAAAAACTTAACGAAAAGTTACGTAATTAATTAAATTTATTATTTACATGTACCTATGAAAATATCGTAAATTTATACAGCTGCGCTTGTATATCTAATTCCTGGTAGGTATTTTGGATAATTTACCTTTTACAATTTAATCGTTTAAATAAATTAAATTAATAAACGAGAAAATAAGAAATGTACTTATTTGTACAAAACTACGGCATATAAACCATCCGGAAAGTCCCAAAAAAAGAGGCGTAATGTTTACTTGCGCGTCCTTGAGGATGCCCCAAATATCGCTTTAAGCAGATGATTTGCTAGGAGAGAGATTAAGGATTTTGGTAATCGGCGTAACGCGCAGTGTTGTGAAGACCACAAGACAAACAAGTGCAATGTACATTTTATACAATAAGTTCCCAATCGCGTGTGTTATCGCAACTCTCGTCTGTTTATCAACTGTTGAATGTCGAACAAAATGTAAGTCCGCCTTTTTCTTTTTTTCTCGATACGAAAGTTATTAAATACATTTTAAAACTAATAATTAAGTTACGCACTTTCTTCAGAGGGCTACTAAGGGCCTATAGCAATACTATACTGTAGTTAATTCGGCAGGCAAAATAGCTCATAAACTTATTCAGAAATGTCAACACTTTCACGCACTAAAATCCACATGTTTAAATGATCTTAGCTGTCGTAACATTTCGATTACCTACTGAATTTTTTATACTATTCCGGTACCTATTCCAAAGGGTGATGGTGATCTATTTCTTTAACGGCCAGGAGGGGAAATCCGACCTAAAAGGTAAACCCCGCCAGACTACCTACTTAATTACGACCAGTAGTCAGACTGAATTTTCGAGGTAATCAACTTTGCCTAAGTACGCAAGTAACACCGTCAGGTAATAAGAATAACATTTTATTTAGTCAAGGCCCCCGGACGAAGACTTCACTCATAAGGACATATTTTTTGTACAAGTGCAATTAAAGTATTTCCAAAGAATACTTACTAATAATAATTACTCTTTGGTATTGCTTAATTAAGTATTTAATATCGTCAGTGTATTAATTAATTTGTAATGCAAATCATTTTGTCAATCTATTGCTAAACAACACATTGAATACGCTAGAAATCGTTTACAAACTATTTACAAAGAAGGCATTTCGATAATATCAAGCATTTTTCGAAAAGAAGATAACCTTTCGCGGAGTTATTCGGCGAAAATGATTTGCGTGTGTTCATTGAGTAATTAAATCACTCAACGGTGTGTTTTTAAATCTGTGGTTTTACTGTTGTCCTAGCAGTTTGCTAATTCTGGGGGCGTGTGCGACACCTATCTATGCTGGGCCACCTTTGTTCCGTAATACCATTACATTAATATCGTTTCCTAGTTCATTGCGAAATGTGTGACCACTTCCCTAATGAAATTGCCGCAGTAATTTGGCATTCAAACGATGTGCTGAACCTGAAAATTAATCATTTCTAATCAGAGACAGTAACCAATACAGGGTGTCCAACGATGAGTTGAGTATACCTATTGTTATGTGCGGAACTGATGCGAATAAATGAAGGGCTAATTTAGCTAAAATATTTTCGATCGAGGCGGGAATCTCGGTAGATATCCAGTATATTCTCGAGTGTATATGTTACGGATAAAGTGTTTATTTGGATAGTTTATAGAGTAGTTGGATAGTATTTGAACCCCAAACATTAATAGCACAAGTAAAGACAAGTCGCTATGTATGAGGGCAAAATAGGCTGTTATACCTGTCGAATAATGAACAAATCAAATCAAATCATTTATTGTCAGAAGTACCAAATGTGGCTTTGACATGTCAATAATGTACTCGTACAATGTAAATAACGTAAATGTAGAAAAGCAAAATTCAAGATATAAACTACAAATTTTCAATAAATATAAATAGCCTAAAAACATATGCGAACTATGGACGTACACTACACATTAACATTTTGATTTAGATAAAGTAATAATGATAATTTAGCTTACGCTTACACTTATCATATATGTGACACAAGGGTGTAATAAAAAACAAACGACATATGATGGGACGAATATACAAAACTGATAAGCATCAAGGCACGAGTAAGTGTATATAAAATGAAATCTAAAAATAAAATAAATTGACAGATTTCATATAAGACTACTAAGATATATTTTCACAGTTGAATTCTTCAATAGCGTAATATGCTTTTTTTAATAGTATTTCTTTTAATTTCTTTTTTATTAGTTGTAGTCTAGTCAACTCTTTTATTTGCGTTGGAAGATGATTGAAGAGTTTTTGGGAGACGTACACTAGTCCATTTTGCGTCTGGCTAAACTGCAATAGTTTGGCCTAAAGCAGGCCTTCCACGCGCAAAGTTTGCATCGTTCTTGGTGCGGAGCGAAGAGTTTTGCCAATCCTAAATTCTTGGCGTGGAGCGATGCTGGGCGCGCGCGTGGATGTTGTCGCTCCTGGAGTTAAGACATAAGTGAGATAGAAGTGGTGTTTCAACATTCTGGTCCAAGTTCGAAGACATGGCGTTAATTCAAAGTTCGATTAAATGAATGCACGTGGAAGGCCTGCTTTATGTTGTTCGGGAACTTGTGAAATGATGATGTATATCACTTTGCAATTTAAATTGATGAAGATTATCTTTCGTGTACATAATACTATCTAACAAATATTGTGATGGTAAGGTTAATATTTTTAGATGAATAAAAGTCTTTCTGCAATCATCCCTATATCCAAGGTCATTTATTATTCGTACTGCACGTCGTTGCAGACCAAAAACTCTTCGCGCTGCAGGACAATTTCCCCAGACTAAGATACCATAGCTTAATATACAAAAAAATTTTTTTACAAATAAAATCGACATGTACTCCAAAGTATAAGACAGGATCAATATGTACACCTAAACATTTTACAGAAGCATTGTTGTGAAATGCATGATGTCTTAGAGTTAGCATCAGGTTTTCCGATTTGGTTTCATTAAGTTTTAATATTGGTTTGGTATAAACCATTCTAACGCCAGAGTCGTCCGTAAATAAAATACAATCCGCATACTAGTTTATGTAATTAGGGAAGTCATTAAAATAAATCAAAAACAAAAGTGGTCTGAGAATGGACCCCTGGGGAACTCCCCTAATTACAGATAGTTGGCTTGACTGACAATACTCCATTGTGGAAGACGTGCTGAAATCTATTAGTTTATGTTGGTGATTAAGTGGGCACGTGCCTCTGTGCCTTTGGGACCAGCCGCCAATGGTCGGAAGACCAACTTATTACATTTGTCGTAAACATTCTCAGCAACTTCAATTTTTTCCAAATTGTTTCCACAAATCATACTCTGTGTTTCAGAACCTTCGATCCCTATTTACAAAAATAAACGACATTATGCATGCGCAACCCAACTTATATGTATTTGCGCAATCCCAATTTTTTAAATTTGTTAAGAGATTTGAACGAAATTTTGTAATTAGGCAGTTAGGCACCTCAAAAGTAAAACCATTGAACTATATACTCTGTAACGAGTATATAGTTCAATGAGTAAAACTAATGCCGAATCAAAAAAATTTGTTTTACAAGCTATGCTGATCTGGTGGGACAGAATTAACCCGTTTTTGTTAGGTAATTTCTTTTAATTCATGTTACTTAAATGTAGACTTATCTTTATATGTCATACGCCTAAACCGAATGGTTTTGATTATTATTTCTGAACAATCGTGCAAGAAAAAAGCGAGGAAAAAAGTTATGGTAAAAAACCTGTTTTTCCTGTACCATAATTTTACACTTTTGCCATTTATTAACGATCCCCGAGATCGTTTATAATGTTGTATTGATGTCTATCTGTCTGTCTGTCGGTTGTGCTTTGCCCACTTTTGTATTTGCGCAATCCAATTTTCCTTTGTTAAGATATATCGAATCGAAAAATTTGTTTGGACATGCGCAATCCGTTTTTCTTTATTTGCGAAGATACTTAAATGAAATATGGAGGCACCTCGAATAAAGGTAACACTAATGCCGAATCAAATAAATTTGTTTTGCGCATACGCCATTCGATCCGAGTGATCCGACTAAAAACACGCAAATCATTGTTGCGCATGCCCAGACCCACATTCATTATTTGTGAACCAATTCTTCGAAATTTTAATGGAAATTGCACGTTACAAATGGGAAATGAATGCAAGTGGAAATGCGCTTTTTGTAAATCGTTTACGATTACTTTTTTAACTTGTTCTTGAATTAGACGAGGACCAGGCAGACAGATGGAATTTTTTTCGCACAGTTCTCTCTCGATGATAAAATTTACTCATTTTTAGCGCATTTTCCAACGAAGTTGGGTGCGCTATTGCAACCACTTTCTCTGTCCGTCCGTCTGTCCGAGGCCTTAACTACTCCTACAGTTTTCAAGATATTTAGTTCGTTCTTTTTGCATTCGGTAGCGTATCGCTCTGGCACCTGAGTCAAGGAAAATCTTGACGATTGAACTGCGCATGCGCAGGCTGCGCAATGTTAACTTTTTTATTTATTAATATATTTTGTTGAAATTTTAATCACCGATATTTGTAGTAAAGGCAAATAGGTATATCGCATATAGTAAAAATCAGATGCGCGCATCTGCGCAATGCCAACTTTCTTATTTATGGAGATATTCCTTTGAAATTTTAACCAAAGATGCTTATAGTAAAATCAAATATTGCATATTGTAAATATCAGATAAATAAGCGCATGCGCAGGACGCGCAATATCAACTGCGCAGTAAGTGTCAACTTCCTTATTTATGAAGATATTTCTTTAAAATTTTAACCATATAGGCCTCTAGTAATGAAAAACAGCGCACATAGGTATGACCTTTGGGGAAGTATTGATCAATTTATGGAAAATGCGCTGAAGTTACTCGCCTTAGGGCGAAAACTTTTTTAATTGTTATGATCACGCTCGTTTTAATCAAGTCAAGCCAAACCGTAAATTTGTACAGTAATAGGGTACATTAATAGGTATCCGATATGTTCATCATCACAAATTTTTGCCGGTGTAAGTGAATTCAATGTTTATGAATCCCACGTCCCTATATTCTTACCTCACTCAGGATAACACACGTCATGTCACAATTATTAGAAACTGGATTTTTGGATAATTACAAATTAGGTACATGCCGGTAAATTTACACGTGGCACTTGAAGAGAATGCATCATTGTACCCAGATGTACGAGCTATGAGTTACACGCCGTTTCTGTTTCTAATCTAAGGTCATCTTCACGGCAAAATCGTAAGGTTGTAGGTACTATTATTAGGTGCCTACCCTATTAATCAAGAAATCTATTGTGCAAACTGACAAATGTTTTGTTATCTAATTCAGAGAGGGTGAGGGTAAAAATGGGCCTCGAAATGCATGTTTGCGTGTAGATATTTCGGTTAACTTGTTTATGTTTGAATTGAAAAATGAAATTTTCCATGAATAAAAATCATTATTTGTATTTATAACTTAATTGGCAATTAAAGAAACATTATATAATAGGTTATACCTAGGTAATCTTCGGAGCTCCTATTCCATATTCAAAGATATCACCATGGTCACAATGGATAAAAACGAATAGATATAAAGAGTTACTAGAATAGTTTGGGTTAAAAAAACCAAACGGTCGACTGCTGGCAGGTAAATAGAAAAATTCTCACCGGTATTTACCATATGATGATTCTTTTTGCAAATCGGGGAAGTCCAATCACCTTCGCACGTAGGTAATTGGCAGCGTCTTTTCCATTTTTTTGCGACAATGTGTGCGAATGTCAATATCTTTAAAGTGTTACCAGGTTAATAAATTGTGAATATTACTTTTCAAGGATACGTCATACTTAAAATTTTTAAATATTAATCATTTAGGCGCACACTGTTTTATTTTCTCTGTAAAGAATGTAAAGATGTTTCATTATCTATTAATCAAATGCTAATTTTCAAACTTGTCATGTATTTTTAGCGTAGCGACCAGTTGAATTGATTTAAATGATGACCTGAGAAACTATTGGTGAATTAATATGTGAGGTATTCGAAATGGTTATTTTAGAAGAAAGATTTTCATTTTTTATCCCTTCCGCTTACACTAGAAATACATAATCCCCAACTTCGTTATTTTTATTTTGAATGAATAGATTTATTGTTGAATTATTAAATGTCTTGACATGATAGTACATATAAATACAAACAGCAGAAGCACTCCAAGCGCTTATGTTGAAAGAGCATAGGTACCTATATTTTATACATTGGGTTTCCACTGCTGGTTCACAATAACCCCCCATTAATGGGTCTGAAAAGGACTTCTAAAACTTAAAAATAGGATGAGGACTTGAGGGATATCTTTTTTTTATTGTTCATTTTCAAATAATATTTTATTATTTTCAAGAATGCCACGCACAGTGTCTGGTACATCATTTTTTTCCCAAATTTTCACCAAAAGTGTGCCAATCATTCTATTCTGTTGATATGTTTGCTGGTTTCCTTCAAGTTGATTCAACTAAAGAGAGAGCAATGACAGCAAATGTACCTAACTGGGTAGGTACTTACTAATACGCCAACGAACATGCAGCAACTACATACCTATTTAAAATCAACTTCAGGACACTAACAAAGAAACATTAGGTCCAGTTGCTCACAAAAAATAATACGATATTAACACGGGACAATTTTTGATACGAGTTGTAGGTTATAAATCTCCTACTGTCACCCCAAAAAGTATATATAGGCTCAGATTTAGGACTTGTTCAGCGTTGAATGCGTTTGGATCATATGAAAGATCGCTTAATTCTATTCCAAAAATCCGATACAACCGAATACCGAACGATCCTCGAGATCTTCACACACACACGTCATTTTTACAATGTACCTTTACGAGGTTGATTCTATTCCACCAAATCAGCATAGCTTGTAAAACAAATTTTTTGAATCTGCATTTGTTTTATTTGCGGTGCCTACATAGATAATTTCATTTAAATATTAAAAAAAATAAAAGATTTGAAATAGCGCCTGCGCAAAACAAATTTTTTGATTCAGCATTAGTTTTACTTTTCTTCGAGGTACCTATACATACAAAATTTCATATAAATATCTTAACAAATAAAAACAAATTAAAAAAAGTAATCGTAAACGATTTACAAAAAGCTCATTTTCACTTGCATTTATTTCCCATTTGTATAAGATGCAAATTCTGTTAATATCGTAAAAATCCGGCTACAAATAAGAAAGATAGCGTTGCATATGGGCATTCCATTTTTGACGTGCTACTTCAGTTTCAGTTTATAAGAATCATCCTACCCTACAATTTTAGAAGAATTAGTTTACAAATAACGAATGTGGGTCTGGACATGCGCAATAATTGTTTTGCGTATTTTTAGTCGGAACGGATTGCGCATGCGCAAAACAAATTTATTTGATTTGGCATTAGTTTTACCTCCATTCGAGGTGCCTACATATAAAATTTCATTTAAATATCTTAACACAACAAAATTGGATTACGCCTGCGCAAAAGAAATATTTTGATTTGGCATTACTTTTACTCGAAGTGCCTAGATACAAAATTTCATTTAAATATTCTAACAAATTAAAAAAATTAGATTCCGCGTTAATTACCTACATTACAATACAACTACTAATGCAAGTTATGCCTTAGAGGTACCTATATTTTGTCATTGAAACTCGTATAGAGATTGTTTCGCTTATTTAGAAGATCATTTCGTGAATTTAATGGTTTTTCCTTCGAATCAGTTTTACCAGATCAACCTTTTTGGTGGTACTATTAAGGGTGTGTTAACTATGAAAGATTTCAAGAACCCAATCGAAACGTATGTTGGGTCTAGCGCGGCTCACAGTCATTTTCCCTCGAATATGTCTCGCGGTGAATTGCCTGCAGCTATGAATACTACAGATAATAAAAAATTATCGATAATGTCAGTATCCGATAATATCGATAATCGATATTATATCAATATTTTTTTATTATCGATAATCGATAGTGAATTTCTATCATCGCGCAGCCGTAGTCACCACAATACTATAAAAAACATGGGATAACTATTGCATGACTAAAAATGGGCAAAGCGTAACTGATGTTTTATGTGCTGATTAAAATTCTGTTTAAAAATTTAGTGAAAATTAGAGTTCGTTATTATTGAACGAAATTTAAAAAAAAAATAGATATAAAAACCTGATACAACTGAATACCGAACGACGCTCGAGATCTTCCCGCATCCATCATTTTTACAACACAGCTTAAGGGGTTGATTCTGTCCCACCAGATTACCATAACATTTAAAACACATTTTTTGAATAGGTATGAGTGTTACTTTTTTTCGAGGTGCCTCAATACATTTCATTTACATAATCTAAAATTGGATTGCGCATCATTTTTGATACGGTATTAGCATTGTTTAAAGTGTTCCTTTTATTCAAGGTGCCTACATACAAAATTTCATTTAAATATCTTAACAAACAGAAAAATTGAATTGCGCCAACACAAAAGTTGGAATGCGCATGCGCAATATTTTTTGCATCTGCATAGTTTCTTGGGGTTTAAGGAATATTTTCTGACACAGAAAACCGAGCATTCATATGTTCTTTGTAACAAGAATTATAAAAGATTCCCCTTTTTGGAGGTTCAGGCAGTTTTTGGGCTATAACTTTTTGTCCCGTCAGTCTATACGTAACTGAAAAACAATAAGCGACCTTTCTTATATTCTTAAAAACATGTGTACTAATTTTCAAAGCGATCGGACGTTTCTAAACAAAGTTATCGGCACACGAACGGACAGACAGCAATACAAAATTATAAACGTTCTCGAGGATCGTTAATAAAGAAATGTCACAATCAAACACTAAACAGACAGACAGCAGTACAAAACAACCTGATATACTTGCACTCTTATATAGACTATTTGATTTGAGTTCATATAGTAGACTATATGATCAATTAAACTATGTGATGGCGGCAATGAATTATTTATTCTCCAATCTCAAATGAATGCGTCTCATTGGATTCTGTTGAGGGTTGATATTCCGAAAGCGAATTCACCAGGGGGGCCTTTCATGAAGGGAGGACGGGGAAGGGGCGAGTTTTTTTACAAGCATAAAGGTCCCACTTCCATTAGCGCGTAAGAAAAAGTAACCTATTCAACCTTATAGATCTTTGCTGCACAACAGTGAACTCAGAACCAAAAGTTTAGACTTACAAAGGCCTAATGATATCGGGACAAAGAGTGCCATGTACCTACAAAATCATATAATTCGAGACTATACAGAAATATATTTAAGAATATGTACTTACCTACTCACCTATCTTGTAGCATTGGAGTACACTTTTAATATCTTTCAGATCAAGTATGTGTCGTGGATGGGCGTGGAAGTTTTCGCAAAGCTGCCAAATTTTGTCCCGTTTTGGATGGCCCGGATAGCAAAGTGGAATGTGTTATAGGATTAGACAGGTACCTACCTACTGTTGTAGTTTCCTCACATTTCCAGTATTATCCATCTTGCTTTTCAGGCTGGACTGTTTAAGACGGATATCAAAAGGAAAGGCTGATTTCTCAGTATTTAGCGCCGAAGATCTAGTAACCGCGAGTAATCTACAAGTTGAAGTTCTTGTCACAAATGAGATGAGATACACAAATGGTTAGTGAAGTGTGCATGTGTGTTAATTAACTCTTACATTTTTATACATTTACAGATGAGTTTGAGTATGAAGTTGTTGCTGTCGTTGATGATGAGGCGCGCATACAAACCCGATATGATCTGCGCGATAAACGATTATGTCATCCTGGATATGGATACGAAGCTGATTGGACTCAGATCCTTGCTAATGTAAGTAATGAAATGAGAAGTCAACATTTCATTTCATACGTTTAAGTATTTGGAAGTATCAACCGTGCCTCAGTCTTGCAACCCACTATTAAGTTTAACTGAAAACAGAATAAGTTCATCTTCAAAATACTTCAAATCCGCATGTAAGGCTGGTCCATGGGTAAATGACCGTGCGTTAGATTCACAACTAAGTAAGTTCATTAATTAAACAAACACAGAACTTAACTGTTATTGCAGAACGCAAATACCCAAACCTCTGCGGATTATGTAATTCTCCAGGCGTGTGCTCTACGGATGATAAATATTGGGGTCGTAGTGGCCCATTACTATGTCTGACTGATGGTGTGGGAGATATTACATGGGCACGATTGGATGATGTTCGCAGTCATTTTGGATTAACACCAGGATCATCTCTAGCTAGTACTGAAGGGTACAGTTACCTATGCGAGGATGGAACTACGATACCGTTAAATTCAACAACAAAGCCGTGCGTTTGGGTAGTTAAACCTTGGCCGGTAGTTGCTAGTAAGAGGTAAATGATGGTCTAAGTATATGTATATGGGATTATAATTAATCACTGTCTTAGGACTAGCGCACAGGAGATTCAAGAGTTCATCTCGTCACTTTCCCATTCAGATAACAATTCATGGCAGTCTGCTCTACTGAACTTGATAGAAACATATCATTTAACAATAAAAGCCGTACAGCCTATAGAAGCTATAGAAAGTTACTTGTCACGAGCACAGGGCTTTTTGAGCGCCAACAGCTTTCCTGGTTGTCATCCCCCTCGCACGATACGAATATGTACAACAACCAATTTGGAAAATGCAAAATGTTCGTGGTTACGGGAAGTATCCAATGTATATGGAATTGAGCCCGATGTCGATTGCTTAAAAGCAGACAATAAAACCCACTGTATGCAAGGTGTTGCCGACAACTTGGCCGACGTTGTTGCAGTCTCTGCGGACATGGTGAACGAAGCCAAAATGTAATAATATATTGATTGTGCGTATATCGTTCTAATTTTACCATTTTTAGGTCTTACAAACTAAAAACCTTATTTTATGAAACTGTAGCAAATGAGGAAGAAAAATACGTAACAGTTGCTGTAGTCAGAGCTAATTCTGGTATAACGTCTTTTGAAGGTCTACGCGGCAAGAGAGCGTGCTTTCCAAAATACGATGGTGTAGCATGGAATTCTGTAGTACACGCTCTAAATTCTAAACAACTTTTAACAACGTGCCCATTTAATCAGGGAATGTCCGAATTCTTTTCAGACAGTTGTGTACCCAATTTTCCAACAAATGGATCACCCAATCTGCAAGTGTTGTGTAAGCCGGGCATATACGATGAGGAGTATGGAGCTATGAGATGTTTGACACATGAAAACGGGGACGTTGCATTTGTTTCAAAACAGGCATATTCAACGTTTTTCCAAGGTACGAGAATTGTTTTTGAAATAAATGATTTTTTATTAGGGTCCAAAAATTCATTCTAACGGCTCAATAAGGCGTATAATTAGCGCTTAATCTTAGGGTAAGGAAAAATTCATGTATGTAACAGTCTGCGCCTACGCGAAGTTGCCAGTGCTAATGCGAGTGATAATGCTTTTTGAGACACATAGCATATTTCGTATTAGGGCACAAAATTTTAGTCCAACAGCGCTAAAAGGTTCATAATTAGCGCTTAATTAATTTATTTCATCACAGGTTACCCCAATGACAATGTTCATGTATTCAACTTTTCAAAAATTATTTCACAACGTAAAGGAACTTCCAAAGTTTTGTTTGAGCCGTAAAAAGTATACAGGGTGATTTATTTGCTTTGCACTGCATTAGGGTCTTTGAATTCTTTACAATTACAATATCGTAAATGAACAAAACAAATGTGCCTGTACGGAGGAGAAATTGGATCATGATATTTTTGTTTAAATACCTACCAGGGTACCACCTATGAATGAAAAACCAAACAGCACTTTTCTATCGAATACTTGATTATTCGAAAGATACAAAAAATGCAAGCAACATCAATTACGACTCAAGATGTATTTTCCCAACATTGGCCTTTACCTCGACCTCTACACTATGATGTGTCCCCCCTCCCCTATCATGTTTATGATTTTATTATTAATAGGTATCTACTAAGGGTTGAGAAATAAGATTTTGTATCTTTTACTGACAAAAAATCCAAAATGTATTTTAAAAACAAGGTTGTAGTGCTTCATTATAAAGGTTTAACGGAATTTAATTTAGAGAGTTTTGTCACCAAAATAATAGGTAGCTGCCATATATACAAAGATCAAAACAGACCGGTCTATATGTATGGAATTCACATTATTATTATACGGATGGGGAAAAAGACTTGAAAAATGTCGAATTTTATTCTTCTTTCGACAATTTATTCTATGACAATATTACATAGCTCTGAGTTATAAGCACCATCTCGAAAATTTAAAACTAAGAAAGGGGCGTGGCACCTTTTTGGAAAGAAATTTTATTCTTTGTTTAACAATATACCGTTTTTTTTACATTTGGTGCCATCATAACATCATAAAATTTTGATAATGCCTTCTTGAAAACTGTACATAGAAAGAAGCCATTTTAGGAATTTATTTAATATTTATTTACAATTAAATTAAATGTTGTAATAACTGTTGAGAAGCAACTGGGCAACTCAAAACGTAAAATCAAAACTCCCACCAAAACCTATTAAAACTCATGGCACATAATCGTCAAGTAAAAAACCTGATTCACTAATCCTATCACTATAGGATCGGTCAACATAAATAAAACGCAAGAAATTGAGAAGGCGAAATTAAAAAAATAGAAACGTTCTATAACATAACAAAAACAATCAAATCCAAATTCAATTCATGGTTGCAGTCTCTAAATCACACGAGAATAGCTCTAGGGACCCATAACATAACAGCATTCCGATAACATAAATATTCAAGAGTCTTGAAAAATAACCACATTTGGCATTTATGCACAATAGAAGATCATGGAAAAATAACATTGTTTTTTATATTGTCATAATAAACTTTCAAATAAGGGTAATAGGATAATAAAATATTAGCATCAATTGTAAGGTTTAATCTATGGACCTCAAACAAAGCCATTGTGAGGCTTTCTTTCCTCTAACATTTTTGAACAAAGGGGCCAGATCTCAGAAAAATCATTCAAGAAACTCACTAAATCGCGTCCTACCGAATCTGGAGGAATAATTCTTATTCACATGCCCAGTCAGTTCTCAAATTGCATTAGTGGCAACCATACCCATCAGGAGGCCTGAGGTTTAGCCATTATGCTATTTTTCAACAAAGGCATCTTCAATTACTAATTTATAAAAGATTTTGGCAATACAAAGGCAAATGCAATAGAGACAGAAACTCCGAGACCCATCGTACAATAAGTCGACAACATCGTAAATTAATTTTAAAATCCCTTTCTTGCGAATTGTTAAAATATAAAATGCATGTAGCAGTTCCATAGCAAAAGCTACTTACAGGAAATCTAGAACCCAAACGGTATCAACACCTTGTATATTAATCTTAAATGAAAACCACTCACGCCTGTGTAAAAGTTTCCTGTAAAAATTTACACGCTACCCTAAATTATGTAAACACCCTGTAGATGGGCTAATTGATCCTTAACTTTCACCAAACAAATAATAAAAACTAATCCGGATGTCCCAACAGAATAATATCATTCCTCCCAGTGTCTATAAACGAAATTGAAGCGACATTCACAATTAAACTTCTAGGTACATGAGAAAACTACGTACGCGCTATCTACAGCAAACAAAAACTACCCTGGCCACATTTATCTATATTTGCGAATCAAAACACATACCACCAAAAGCGAGACCAAAAGTTAAAACTTCGCTACTTTCTCTTTTCTGCTAGAAGAAAAGCAAAGCATGTGCACTCACTATGACCCTTCTCCAGTAATTTGAATTGTTAGATTCGCGCCAAAGAAATGTGCAGTGGCGTAACTTGCGTTTTTCTGTTTTAATGGAATGCATAAACGTACGTGGCAATGATAAAATTCAAAAACTACCACGTATAACATCAAAATGGATGATACGTCACTAACTACAGGGTACCCTTGTAACACTGTTTTTTTCATGTTGACTTGTTTTTATGACAAAAATGGCGCTGTCAATTTTTGTATGTGCAGTTATGGCATGTCAAAACAAAACAATGAATGCGTCTCATTTAATTCTGTTGAGGGTCGAAAGAGAATTCAGATTGCCTTTCTTGAAGGGGGGAGGGGGTGGATTTTTCTACAAGCATAAAGGTTCCACTTTGATTGGAATCTCATTTCATTGACATTTTAACTCTAAAAAGATTCCAAGAGCCCAAAAAATAAGCTATCCTGTACAACTATTGGCCAACGCATCTATTCACAATAGCTTGCAATAAATAATCGACATCCTGTAGGTTAAGAAAAAAGTATGTGTGTAAGTATTGGTGTTACTACCTTTGGGCGAAGAGTTGTTGATCAAAGAGATTTTTTCAATTAGTTTGGTTCTTCAATCCTCATATGAGACTCAACTGAACACACAACAGAAAGTCTTGTAAATTTGGTTCTCCTAAAACAATTCAGTTTCTATTGAAGGAAATCAGAGCTCTTGCGTAGTATACAGTTAAAAAATCTGATACAACTGAATACTGAACGACCTCAAGATCTTCACACATACATCGTTTTTGTAACAAACTTTAAAGAGTTGAATGTTGATTCTACCGCAGCAGCTTGTAAAACAAATTTTTTGTCGGCATTTTTATTCGAGGTGCCTACATACAAAATTTCATTTAAATATCTTAACAAATAAACTCGCTAAAAGCTCGTTAATAATAAATTTGGGATTGCGCATGTGCAAAACAATTTTTTTTATTCAGCATTAGTTTGACTTTTATTGGAGGTGCGTAAATACAAAAGTTGGGTTGCGCATGCGTAATCTTTATTTATTCATCTTCATAGTTGCCTGAGGTTTAAGGAATATTTACTAACACAGAAAACCGGACATTCAGAAGTATGTTCTTTGTAACAACAATTATAAAAGAAACACTTTTTTTGGCTGTAACGTTAGTCTAATACCCAATAAACAATAGCGACCTTCTTATTCCTTGAAGAACATGTGTATCAATTTTCAAAGCGATTAGACATTTCTACAAAAAGTTATCGTGCACACGGACAGACAGACAGCAAAACAAAGTTATAAACAATCTCGAGGATCGAGGGTGTACTGACGGGGAGCGTTGGTACCAAAGATTGCATGCGAGTACCGAGGGGGAAGAGGGATAGTTTAGTGTTTGATTGTGACATTTCTTTATCTTTAGTACATTTTTACATTTTGTTGTGTTTTCTTTAAATAATGTGTATTTACTTTTAGATATAAAAGAAAAGAGAGATGCATTCATCGATGCAAGGGATTATACGATCTTATGTGAAAATAACGATGAACCTTGTCATTTGAGTTGGGCGCCCCCTGGTCAAGCAATGATAAGAATGAATAGCAGCACTCTGTGGATCAAAGACACTTTAGATGTGTTTTTGCAAATGGATAATCTGTTTGGTAAAAACTTTAAATCAGTTACCACACCATTTACATTATTTGGGCTGTTTGATGGTAAACCGAACGTTCTATTTCATGATGTTACTAGTAAATTGAGAGACGTTCCGAAATTAAAAAATACAGATACAATGCAAAAGGAGTATAGTGAGATATTAGATAATTTTGGAGAATGCGTTCCTGGTGGTAGTTCAACGGCTTATATGTGTAATTTTTACATGTGTATCATAATGTGTGTATTATTGTTGTTTAAGTTTTAATTATAATTTGTGTACTGTAAACTATAAAATAGGTAATTGTACTCGAATTTACGTATCTCATTTTCTAATGTCAACAAGACTGCTCTTATTAATACGGCGATTATTTTAAAATTAATGTATACCTATGCTGTGATATAAATTAGAAGTCAATAAAATTTTATACATTTATATGTTACAGTTTTCTGAATTGCTCTCAGGCTTGCACTTATTGATTATTTCAAAATGAAACCAACCATGCATAAATTAACCGACATTTCATTGATTATTTTAACCCCCTTATAAAACAGCACGTGTGGCAAGTTGTGTGTTCATTTTCAGTGAAATCTAAAATATGTGAATTTCAGTGTTAATATTTTAGAGTAGTATTATTTAATTAGGAATTAAAATGTCAAAAAGTAGCGCAATGACGTCTCAAAAACCTACAAAAATTAAACAACGAGAAAGTAGCACAGAAAGGAACCACAAGAAAATTAGCAGAACCATAGGGAGCACTACTATAAAAAATCCTACAACGGCAGCAGCATCACCATTAGTTAAGCAGAAGCAGGCGACCTTAAAAACGAGGAACATTTCAGGTACAGAAAAAACTAAGGTAACAAGTAAAGCTACCTTATCATCAACAAATAGAAGCTCAACATTAAAAAACTCTTTGCCTGCAACGTCTAAAGGATCCGTGACAAGCAAACTAACAGCTTCTGTAAATAATGGGTCAAAGCAGAAAAAACCACCAACTACACCACCCAGTAACAGAGTCTCAAAAACGCAATATTTTCCTAGTAAAAGTATGTACGCAAATGCTATTCAACATCACCTAAATACACAGCCAAAAGACAAAGTTATATCTAATTCAAACACCAATAGCACCAGCACAACAAGTGAGCGCCCTAGAACGGCTACCTTAAAAAAAAGTAGCATCATAAATTTAAATCCTGCAGAAGTAGACGCACCACCAGCACCTTTAAATACTGAAGAAAACAATTACGAGGATGACTTCGACTCTTACGAATCCGATTTTGAAGAGTACCAAACCTCGAGTTCCACCGCAACAGATTTTAGTGCAAGTGAAATATTAGAGGATGATTCAAGCAGCAGCAGCAGCAGCAGTAGCTATAGCAACACACGGAAGGTAATCACCTCGGCAGGTACTGAAGAAAAAATGCTCGATTCTGGTAATTACGATATGCACGACGCTCAGTATAAGAAAACATTAAGCATTAAGAATAATAAAGAAATCGTTGACTAATAGAAAATAATCGTAGCAATATGGCTTCTCTATCGGACGAAGGTTTCGAGGATAGTAAGTCGTCCTTACTGAGCAACGTACAATATATAAATTTTGCTCAAGCACAAAAAAAGATTCAACAGAACAAACATTTGGAGAAACAAAGAAAAAGAGGAAAGGATATATTAGAAATGATAAAGCTCGACCATTGCAATTTTACGTTAATCGAAATGATTCCGGTGTCTTACGATGTGTTCATTCGCAGTTTCGGAAATTTAAATTCGAAGCAAATATCTACTCAAACAGGTGACGATAGTGGATGTGAGGAAGTACAAACCGAAATTATAGAGACAATCGATAAGTGGACTCAGTATCCTATAAGATTCTCAAAAATTAATTGCGACAATTCTAATTATCTTCAGTTATATAAACAGGAATATGCAGGTACGAACTGTGTTAATTCCGACATTCAGCAAACAATGGATTTAAGTTATGACAAATTTCATAAACAGTTATTCAGTGCCACGCAACTTATTCTTAATCTTGTTTACGAATCGCAATCCAATTTCAGCGAGAGAATTTTATCAAATTCCTCGGAAATACCTTTTAGCAACGGATACATTCAATTTAACACAGAATCATCTCCATTTTTAAGAAGTAAACCGATCACATTTGCTTGTTACTGTTTTGGCAACAAATTGTTGACAGTGCATGGAGAGAAAGCCAGCCAGGAGGGTAATATGGACAAAGATTTTATTAATAATAGTATTGCATGTATCTGGAATATATTAAATTGTGAAGAGCCAGAAAGAATTTTAAAAGTGCCTGGAATATTAAGCTGTTGTTTTACTTGTCAAACGAACCATTTGGTCATCGGAGGTCTTGAAGATGGGTAAGTTTGCTTATTATTTGTAAGACACTTTATATCAAAGTATTTACAACTTTACCCCTACTCCCTAGTTTACCTTCAACGCTACATCAATTAAAATATCTTGAAAATCACTTTCCTAAATAGGTAAGTGCGCTCAGATGCTCTTGTCAAACTTTTGACTGTTGTAATGGTTTAGTTACATTTACAGGGATTGAAAGTCCCACTCGCATAAAACTAATTTTATTCTCTACTAAATAAATGTATATATCTCACTTAATTTTTGTCGTACAGAAAATCCTCGCCGAGGTAAATGTTTGGAATTTAAAAACTTACAACTTCATGCTGTAGTTTTTTTACATACCTACCTATCTCTAGTTGTTTTGGAGTTATGTTAAAGAGAAGGACATTATTCACAAAATCCGTAATTTAGCTCTTGACAAGCCATAACTCGGTTCGTATTGGTCAAACATCAATCATTAATAAACCATTTTCTTTGTTTTTTTAAAAGCTATTATTTTGTCTCCAAAGTTTTTTTAATAAACCACCTACTTTTCAAATTTTTCGCGAATAACCCATGAAAAAAATTGATTTTGTCTACTCATACCTTCAGTCGCGAATAACTAGACAAGTATTAACTTTACAAAACAAGTATAAATTGTGCACAACTCTTGTGCTGATAAAGCGCATTTTTTAACCGAAATAGCTTTTGTTTTGACATCACCTATGAAAATATTTCTTGCAGACGTCTCAATCGCCCTTTGTGAGTACCCTCTTACGACAATCCTTCCTTCAGGTATAAGGGAATATACCCGATCACGATAAGAGGTCGAGGAGAAGGGCTATGGTTGGTAGAAATTAATCCCTTTCGTTGGGACCTTTATTAGAGAACCATGAAGGATAAAACTAGTTCCACTCCCCCCCTTCCCCCTCCACCACGTACTTTGATAAGAGGACAAAAAGAAGGGCAGTAGTTTGTAGAAACGAAAGAGTCGCACGGGAAAGTTATAATTTGTACAAACCCATTTATTTCGATGAGACCTTTCATTAGAATACCATGAAGGGTAGAACATGTGTTTACCCCCCCCCCCCATTTCCTAAAGTTTAACTTAACATCACTAAAGGCATGCGTATGCAAAATCTGAGACCAATTGGTTGTCGTATGTAAGAGTTATGCACGTTTTACTTTTAAAAACAGCATCTCAAGAAATTTTCCGGGGGGGGGGGGGCTTTTAGACAGCGATTTTGAAATTAGTTTTTCTATCTATTCCTGTGGTCAAATTATAATTGCAAAAATTTACACTCCCGAGAAGAGGTGGCAACCACCTCCAGATAGAGAGCGCCCTTTGGCCTATGATGCAATTTAGAGTACGTACAGAAAACGATAGCATACCACGTGGAAGGGGACGGAGCGTGTACTGGACCCTAGCTAGAGTTTCTCTCAAATGAGTGATCAAGATCATAAGTCTTTTATCAGCTGTCTCTAATTGATATCTAAAATAGATCAAATGATAGGAAAAGCATTCAATTCATTTGACTTTCACCCACCTAAAATTTTATATTCACATTCTGTCCATTTTACCAAAGTTATACAATGTTGAGACTAGTTTGGTTTACACATGGTAGCTATCTATAATACTCTTTGCTATAATTAAATGACAGATCAATGAGCATTATTAGTTATCAGAATCTATAAATCTCTTACAGAACCTTGTCAATATGGAGCCTGACAGACTCGAACAAAAATGTTAATACAGTGCAAGACATAGTATATGAACAACCAAACTACACAACCGAGGTGCACAAAGGGCATACTTCAAGAATAGTATCCATATTACAGTTGGAATTAAAAGAAGAAGACATTTTCTCAGTAAACACAGATGCCGCTGCAAAAAGTCAAGTAAGTACGAAATGGATAATATTGTAACAATTCAGATATAGTATAATTATTTTACAGGTATGTTCATTAGATGAAATTGGTACATTAATTGTATGGGTCATCATCAAGAAATGTAAATCTTCTCAAAACTTACTGTACTGGAACCAAATATCGGTTGTGCAAAGTAAGAAAATGTGCCTTAATCAGTCTCATCCAGAGTTAGTGAATTTGCTTTGCACGGATATGATAGTTAACTTCTTAGACACACACCACATTCTCATTTCAACGAATTATGGGTATATTATTCACTGTTTAAGTACGACTCCGAAAGCAAGACCTAAAAAATATTATTCGGGTATGCGTTTTTACTGCTAACTGGCGATTATGCCACATATTTTCAGGAATACCATCGCAAGTAAATTGTTTGACGGGTTGCCCATTTTCATCTCAATATTTCTTAGCAGGGCATGACAACGGGACAATTACTTTATATTCCAGCACATTGCAGAAAACCCTAATAGCTTTATCAAATAAAAATGAAAATGTACACAGCGGCGTAGAATGTATACAATGGTGCAGTGACAAACCGTGTTTATTTTATGTGAAAGATTCGTCAAACACAATTCACGTTTGGGATTTAAAAATTAGCGATTTATTGCCTATTTACTCAGTGCCTTTTAAAGAGAAAATTACAGTCATGAAATTATCAAAATCGCAATTAAAAGAGAGCGAAACATCGTATATGGCAAGTACCTAATCTTGTGTAGTACCAAAATGTTAAAATAGTTCCTTTCAGATTCTTGCTACAGATAATGGTTCGATACACCTACATACTCTGACCAAAGATGCCGATTTTAATGCAGATGCGTATAAATTAGACATCAAGAACTTTTTTAATTACGTAAATCGACTTTAAATGTAGAAGTGTTAGACTTTAAAAATATTTGAAACTATTGAAATAAACAATGTTAATCTTGCCATTGAATTTTATGTTGATTCTTGTTTATACAATCATAAGTGTATTGTGTATTCTAAGGCATCCACTAGTTAGAGGTTTTCCGTTCTTCTGTATAATTTGGTTTGACATGTATACCACAAGTTCTATGCCAGTAGTATGTGTTATTAACTTAATATTGTGGTGTACCTTTCAATATAAAATATTTATATTGTTTAACTGTGTTACAAACTGGGCATGGAAAGTGGCCATTAGTGCACGCCATATACTGTGTTTCCTATGTGGAAAATCGGTGGCCCTGTGTCGAGAAAGTTATAGCAAGATACAAAACCATCACCAACTAATGGCCAGGTGGACATTCGTGCCCAGTGCTGTTTGCCATTACTGTTTAATTATAAATATGTCTTGCCAGCAATGGTCCTTAAGTAAATGTTTGCTGAGTAGCTTTGTCTAGACGATCATGTATCATGGGGTTCAGGTAACTTAGGTGGGAAGAGTGTAATTTTAAATTTTGAGTTGCGCAGTCGTTCGCGGCTGACTTGGGTACGTTACAATTTTGTTTATGTACACATACTTTCACACAATATGACAAACAACCTGTAATTATTAGAAATGGAGGAGGTAGAATTTATGGATCGAAGTTTTAGTTTAAGTTACGCATGATCGGGAAACCACTCCTATGAGTATTTGCACGCTGCCATTTCCGAAAATAATAGTAGATACTAAAATGTTTTCAATAACGCGGTACTTCCTATGGTACCAGATACAAAAAGAATGTGAAAACCAAGTGCTCAATATTATAACAAATAAAATTTTTAAAAAGAGAATGAGAAAAACCTTCCAAGATTTCACAAAACTAGTAAACTGAACAAGACTGAGTAGCATCAAATTCCACGAAATAAACAATCATTTCTCATTTTTAAGAATCTAAAAAAGAAGGACCGTGAGGTTAAAGAAGGACTTTTGGGAGACATTTTCTCCAAAGGTGGACTTGGGGGTTTTGGTGGACCGGTAGCACAATGAAAATGAGATATGTTTGCCTTTACTAGAAGCAAATTTGAACATAATCTCCATAAATAAGAAAGTTGGCATTGGGCAGTCTGCCCATGCGCACATCTGATTTTTACTATATCCCATGTTTGTCCTTACTTAAAATTTCAACAAATTATATTATTAATTGTGAAAGTTAAATAATGATCATTTCAATACACTATTAAAAGTAGATCGTATCTGCCATGGAAAACAATAAACAAACAAAATACTGCTGTTCATTGTTGAACGCCCCAAAGAAAATTTGGATTTCATGTTTGGTGCGGAATTATTGGATCGCGAATTCCTGGACCTTTCATTTTCTGCCAAATGAATTTCAAGATATGTTGGATTTGAAAACAAGGCGTATTTTACGCTGGTTTCAACACGACGGTGCTCTGCCGCACAACCAAATGCAAGTACGAGAGCACCTATGGTCAATGTCAATAAAGCCGCAAATATCTTATACAGAAATATGTATTATAAGTTTATTGTTTATGTTTAATAGCAAAAAACAATTTTTTTTAACGCTCTCACACCATAAAAATGGGAAAACCGGCGAAATTAACTGACACATAAATGTTCGGACACCATATTTGATAGCTTGATCTAGATAGCAGGAGAAAAACAAAAAATAATAACTTTTATAACCTGTCAGTACACTTTGACATTTTGTTAAAAGAAAAAATGGCATGTGGCAAAGCGAGACGGAAAGAAATTCGACAATTAATAGTAAAATGGTTTCATAAGGGAAAATCCTTCAGGACAATAGGTCAGCAATTCAATTTGTCCATGTCCACGGTGGCAGATATTGTAACAAAGTATGTGAAAACAGCATCAATCGAAGTAGCAGGAAACAACACAGGAAGACCGCCAAAAGTTGCCCCTAGAATGCAAAGAGCGCTGGTAACCATTTGCAAATCTGGACAAAGAGACACAGTACGGAATCTTACGATAAAATCGAGGGTAAAATGGAACGAAGTAACAAATGCTCATCATTCTCGCTAAACCTGTCAAAGGTGGATCCACAAATCAGGTTTACATTTTTATAAAGTAAGTGGATCTTGAGATTAAAATTAGTGAGCCTTAGAAAATACTTTTCTAAAGAGGCGAAAGAATAAAATCTTTAAAACAGAAAAACAATAAAGAAGAGGTTGGCTTGGGCTCGGGAACGGTATGTGTGGTCTTACCAAGACTGGAAAAAAATCATTTTTTGTGATGAATCTCGATTTGATATCAGTGCAGGCGATAATCGAGAAAGAGTTATCCAATCGGAAAACAAAGCATTTCACAAAGATTGCTTAAAGCGTGCTGTAAAATTCCCCAGTGGTGTAGGTAATGATGTGGGGCAGTATGTCTGCAAATGGACTGGAACAATTGCACTTTATAAATGATTTTAAGTTATAATATTTTTAAAATTTTGAGTGTCCGAACATTTATGTATTAGGGCTCGTATAATGGTACAACGAACCTTGTATCACTGTAAACAGAACAAAATGCACTTTTTAAAAATGTCGAAGCCAACTATGGTTGCTAAAAAAAATGAAGTTTGTGTTCTTTGCATACTTCTGTAAATAATGAAAAAAACTCACCCTGTGTATTTCTGTAGGAGAAAATGGTCTGTGGTGGAAAATAGAAAATGGATGACATCACTCTATTCCGGTTTTTTTCTGCTTGATTATTTTGTTTGTTGCGTTTTGAAGGTGTATTTACAGGTAGTAACCATTTTACTCTCTTTCTTGTATTAACTATTAATCATTGAATTTTTTGTCACAATTTGTTATTATTTATATTTTGCTGATTTTGCAGAAAATGCCGATATTCAAACATGGCGTACTCCATGCTTTTGTTTTGAGTACCGTTATATGAATCATGTTTGTTTGTTATACGTACTGTACAAGTGGTTATACCATTATTTGTTTTATTAGGTATTTATTTCGATGTTCACGAAGAGTGGATTATGAGTGTGATGTTGCTCATATCGTATCGTACAATTTGACATTTTTGTTTGTGTTTTTTCCCAGAGTTGCCAATGGTAAGTTTAGAGTAAGGCATCATTTTCAATGTCGCTAGAGGAGACCCCTAGGATCATTACACCTCGTTCCCGTTTTTTTCCGTTCCCGTGGGAACTTAGGGAAGTCTCTTTCGGAGTACACCTGTCATACCATTACTACGACGTTTTGGTTTTTCGACAAGAGGTGAGCAAGACAGACCAATGAACTTCCAAGTTATCTAAAAGTACTGTAAGTAAAGTATTAATGTCACTTAAATAAACCATTTTTTAGAGTATTATTATGAAAAATACAGCTTACACATTATTTATTTATTATCCCTCTCATATTCTGAGCCCTAAACAGGCTTGCGTCCAATTACAGAGTGATCCGCATAATGCTTTTTAGATTATTCCTGTGCGGCAATTCCGTCCGTCCGTTCGTCTGAGGAATTGGGCTCAGCACTTGGACCTTGTAGAAGGTTTTTTTATTTAAAGGTTTCAATACATAGGGTGGGCTCATGAAGTTAACAATTTAAATGTGAATATCTCCAAAACCGAGTGTCAGAACTCGGAACTCACAAAGAGAGAGTGATAGGTCTCACCAAGACTTATTCAAATGTGTGAAATAACCTAACATGTTGATGATCGGCACTCAATCCATCCTTTAGGTACACAACCTTTATAGGTCATTCCTAACATTCACAAATGAAAAGTTTAAGTGAAATCAAAATATCAAAATTGGAGAAAAATATATATATTGTTTTAAGAATTTCACATTCCATACATATTATAATTTTTTTCTATCCCTGAATGTACAGAAAAGTCTAAAACTGTTAAATTGCAATCCGAAGCAGCAAACAACTCAAAAGCGTCAAAAGATAAACTATATATTGGGGAGCTTTTAAAAGATGTCTTACAAACTTCCATAAAATACATCTGCAAAAAACAATAATATATAACTGATTAACTCTTCCTTCGCTTCATACTTGCACATAACGCACTGTTCGCATATCCCATAACACCACTCTTCCATTAGTTTGCGTTCCCGCTACTAGTGTGCAGCAGTTATCTGTTTCGAAACAATATATAGTCGCATTAAATGGATCTGTCCACACTTGTACACACTGCCCACTTCGCATGTCCCAATTACGGATGCTTTTGTCATAACCGCACGACAGTAACGTATGTGGGTCTTCCCATTTCAATCCCAAAACGCCCGCACCAATGGGAAAATCTTTTCCCAGTTCCGATATTACTGTAAATCTAATTAATAGAAGCCAATCAAGTTATTGCAATACAGCGTTGATAGGTATGTAAAAGATTTGTCCTCATTTACAAGACAATTTATAATAGTTACCCTAGTAACATGAATAAAATTCAGATTGTATAAAGCACAGTTACAATTTCTTGAACTTGAAGGGTGTCTGGCAAGGGGTTGCCACGGTGTAAAGTGTCTGAGTTATATTCTTCCAAAGAAAAATACACAAAAATTGCGCTTTATAATTTACTATAAGTAAGTTTATATCTTATACATCTTGGGTGCCTGCTACCTACCAAAGCCACGAGGAGTCCATCGTACCTGCCTGTGTTGGATGCATGCGCTGAGAAACTTTCAGCTTTTATAAAATAACTTAGGTCTGGCAGTCACAGGCTCTTAAACTATATGTTTCGGGCAAAAATCTGCACCCTTGGGGCACACTCTTTAGTCCCTTGATATATAATATACTATTTTATGCTTGTTTAATATCTGGTTTGAGCTAGGATGCTGTTGGAAGGAATTTGATACCTGGTTACAATTGAACTTTTTAATATCATTTAATGGTCGATATTCGATATTAATTTTAAATATCGTGAAATTGACTTAAATCGTTAATCTTTTGTTATTTTCAACATTATACAATATGCGAATTGAGTTAAAAAAAATCCTGGGCGATCAGGTGTGGGTAAATCATATATATCTCTTATATATATGGGGTAAATTTCTTTCCGCCATTTTGTTCTAATATGGCGTGGTAATTGATCAACATCGGTTCATGATTACGAAAGTGAGTATTTCTTGGAAGTGATATACAGGGTGGTGCACGGTAAGTAGGAACATAGGGATTTAACATGGGCTTACATGGCAAATTAGTTTTATGCAATATCCTGCCCTCCTGTACATTTTACAGAAAAAAACAGTTACAGTTTAAAGTTGTTCAGAATTAAAAGGTGCATACAACACTGTTTTTACATGTTTTATTACGCTAACCCGCAAATTTAAAAATAAATGTCAACATTTCTGTTATTAGTAGCAATAGCCATGACTTTTGTTGTTTTATGAATTGCTACTAATAACAGAAATGTTGATATTTATTTTTAAATTTGCGGGTATACATACCAAAAGCTTAATAAAACATGTAAAAACAGTTTTGTATGCACTTTTTAATTCTGAACCACTTTAAACTTTACAGTGGTTTCTGTAAAATGTACAGGAGGGCAGGATATTGCATAAAACTAATTTCCCATGTTAAATCGCTATGTTCCTACTTATCGTGCACCACCTGGTATATAAACCTATAAATGATACCTGGTACCATAGATAGATAGAAATTTACCTAAAAGGAATCTTGTTAAAACGACACCTTTTTATAATAACATACATACCTAATTTTAGAACTACATACGTTTTATGTATTAAAACGGAAAATTGGGAAGATACAATCTTGAGAAGATATATCGGCTCAGGTTGGAACATACTTCCCTCACGCATTCATTTCTTTTGACGAATCAAAATCCTCCCCAATGCGAACAATGTTTAATCAACCTAACTGTAGATCATGTACTTTGTGTGTGTCCCAAATATAATGTAGAAAGAGTACAGTAACCTGAGTGAAGAAATAATAGAAACCTTAACAAATAAAGATCAATGTGGAGCAGTTATAATATATCTTAGAAATACTGGCCTAATATCTAAAATCTAAATTACACTGATACCTATATATATTTAATAAGGCAAATGACCATAGTAGTCGATGCCTCAGGATGGGTTTTAGTGGGTATACCCGGTATCTGGGGGAGCTCCACACTTAGTGCGTCATTGCATTTCCCCTCCTGAAGAAGAAAAAAAAAACTATTACACGGAAAAGTATTACAAATGAATTCTCATGTCAAACACCTGTCGACCTATAGGGGGGACACCCATCTAGCTCGAAGAAAAAAAGTTTGACATTTTAAGTCATGATGTATGTACACAGCAAATTTCATGGAATTCTTGCCATTTTCGTTGACTAGCCAAGAATTGCAATGGTTTTTTTCAAATTTTTAAAAACTAATTTGAGATTCATAAATTTCATGTCTAAAACATCACATACCAAATTGATCCGAATCAGAATTTGAGAAAATTTTTTACAAAATCGGAAAGGGCATACCTAAAAACCTACATACTCAAAGATGTGTCTTTATAAGCGAGTGATAAGTCTTATGTGTGCTGAGAAAAAGATGCCAAGAAATAAATGCAATTTTTTATCTCTTTTTAGCGTATTTTCCTCAATGTGAAAAATCGTTTGGTCCAAGGATTCCGTGCATACCGAGATTTTTTGGATTTGTGCATGCGCAGTGTCAAAAATTTGGTTTAACGCATGTGCAATTCTAACTTTTTTATTTATAAGTTATTTAAATAAAACTTTATATGTAAACACTACGAATATAAATAAAATTAACGACGTTTTCAAAATATGGTTTTGCGCATGCGCAATGCCAACTTTCTTTTTTATGAAAGCATATAAATGAAATTTTATACAAAGGCATTTGGAATAAAGACAAATCTAACAACAATTGCAAAATTTGGTTTTACGCATGCGCATGCCAATTTCTTTTTTATGAAAGCATTAAATGAAATTTTATACAAAGGCATTTGGAATAAAGACAAATCTAACAACAATTGCAAAATTTGGTTTTACGCATGCGCATAGGCAATTTCTTATTTATGAAAGCAGTTAAATGAAATATGTACCATGCGTAGGCACTTTGAATTAAACTGTTATATTTATGAAGGTGTTCAATGAAATTTCTAATGTAGACAATGCCAAATGCTGTTTAAGAAAGCATTAAAAAAATTTCATATGTAGACACCTCGAATAAAAATAAAAGTAATGCCCATTTCAAAATATGTTTGTATTTGTATACGCCCCACTATTTTTCATTAACTTCGACAATAAAATTTGAAAGAGAATAGAGTATGGATTTCGTGCCTACCGGCATTTTTTCCCGGTCCTAGCATTAAAATTATGAGGAGGAAAATACGCTCTCGTCATTTATGTTTGCATAATGACTTTTTAAGCTTGTTTAAGTGTTAGGCCCTGTTTAAAATATTTGTTTTGGTTCTCTCTATCACCAAATTTATTCCTACATACTGTGGTGGTTGTCTGTAGACTTGACCTTGTATTACGGTAAAGAAAATTCGATTTTTTTGTCACCCTCATAATCAAAAATTAACAAGATCGCGTCCGAATTCAACAAGAAAAGTCTGCATAACGTCAAAATCATGCAAGTCTTGAAAAGTGATAAGTATTGCTTTTTTTTTATTTTCGTCTGTGGGGTTTGATAAACTTACTGTTCATATTTGGATCATAAATAAATCCAGGAGGTGCAAAAACTAACATCAAAAATTAATTTGACAACTTTTTTTAAATGGAAACCCCCTATTTTTATAACTGTAGGTATGTCCTCGAGAAATCTTATTAAGCATAAAAGATAATTTCAATAGAGCGCATTGCCTAAAGACACAGTAGTACTCCGCCACTTACAGGTGTATGAAGTAGTGGCTGCGAGTTGGGCGTGCAATTTTTGTGACACTCCATCTAGGTTCAATAAGAATATAAGTTTGCATTTCAAAACAAGTCCATCAATTGCAGCCACTACTCCATACACCGCCTTCTGCTCGGCCTACTGTACTTGGCCTGTGCTTTCAGCTACATAAATAACATTGATTTGCTGATAATGTGGAAATACCTACCTACTTAAATCTAAAATTTGAATAGGTGCTACACCATTATGCCCACCAGTTCCTATAACTAGTAATGAATTTTTCGAGCTTGTCGCGCTTGACCAAATACGATCACCAACGCTAACACTGGAAATTGGTACATAAGGATGTTGAAGTTCCTGTTTTAAAGGCCACAGTTTCACATATGTATCCTTTGATCCAGTTACAAAAAAATCGTCGACAAAATTAATTGCTTCAATATCCAATCTATGACAATTTTCTAAATGTAAACGATCCGATTTTAAATTCGAAATAAATACACTACCATCCCTATAAAGACAACAGATTAAAAAAAAGTAGATGGTTTGATTTTCATACCTTTGACCACTAACAAGACAATTTTTCTGTATAGCAAATTTACATATATCCGACTTGCTCTGCATTGCTATAAACGTTGAATATGACATGCCACGCCTGTTCCTTTTATACAAATGTATTCGATTTGCTTTACTTAACCACAACCTGTCCTTTTGTAGGACAAGATATGGAATATACCTTTTCTTGTCTTTGGCCAATATACATTCTTGATAAATACCATTCATCCAGTTTCGAGAAATACGATACTTATGTTTTAGATCAAAAAATTTGTTACATCTAAAAGAGGATTCTTTACAATAAACAATAAGCATATTTTTAAAGTAGGTACCTGTTTCGCATCTCGCTATGTAATTGATTTGTACTTAAAATAGGAGTTACATTTCCTAATGTTGTAGCTTTCTGTATTATTTTATAGAACCTTTTACAAGTTCTTTGAAGTACACCTAAAGTAGATATTGGACAGTACTCAAATATTTTAATAAGAACTTCTGTTGAAAGATGAGTTATTTGATTCATCTTTAAGCTACCATTTGAGGTTGAAATATGTAATAAAACAGAAATATCACATTTAACCTGCTAATTTTTTCAATATTCATTTACATTTAACCTCACAATACATAAGACCTACTCAGATTACAGATAACAATGAACCTCGTAGCAATGAACTAAACGCCATTGGTCGCGTTCATAAGACACAACTGTTGTGGAAGTTACCGAAACGTCTTAAGGCCCTTGTACACGTTCGGCCACATCCATAATCTACAGGACACTCAAAATGAAATCTACACTATTATAGTAAATGGCCAATGAAAACTGACAACCTAACGTTGGTCACCTGGTGACCAACTCATTGGCCCAACTAGTTGGCCCAATGTGTAAACACTGTTGACCCAACTTATTTGGACCAACTAGTTGGCCGAACGTGTACAAGGGCCTTTATAATATTTCGTTGGCGAGTTGTCGCACTGGCGAGTCGCCCGTTAGCGAGTTGTCGCAGTGGCGAGTCGTCCGTTGGCGAGTTGTCGCGGTGGCGAGTTGTCCCGTTGGCGAGTTGTTCCGTTGGCCAGTTGTCGCGTTGGCGAGTTGTCCCGTTGGCGAGTTGTCGCGTTGGCGAGTTGTCCGGTTGGCTAGTCGGTCGATGGTGAGTGGTCCGGTGGCGAGTTGACCGTGTCCCATTTCATTTCATACCTTATCGCTTTCGGAATCAGGTGCAATCGTTACGGATCGTGCGGGTTCGTTAGCGATTTATCACATGTTTTGTATCAAAAGATTGAATAACTGCGCGCGGTGTTGCCGTGTTCATGTTTTTTTTTATTAAGATGAAAAGGTGTTCGACCGTTAAACATTCGTGTTGAAGGTGTATTAACACTAGAGGCGCTATGATTATGATACCGTCACTATCCATATTCGTTTACCTATGAATATGAAAAGCAAATAACCTTTGGTACGACAAACTTAAACGTAAGTAACCACAAGCACGTCAGTTTGACAACACGTGACGCAAACGAGAAAATCAAATCGCACATGTGCAAGGTACCAATTGTTCTACGATTTTCCCTTACCCCTTAAGGTGGGTTCATAGCTCTCCATTCATACGTTTCCGTTTATCCGTTAGCCAATCAGAACACAGTAATTTTTTAAACCGTACGTCGTCCATTTACAACGGAAAAGTTGGTTGAAGTTGAACATGTACGTTTCCGTTGGTCCGTTATTTTTTAACAAGAGTAAGGTTATGTTTCTTATGTTGACGTTTAAGACCAAATTTAACAGTGTTCGCCTATTACGTTCTTCGCGGTGATAATCTGATAGTAGTTTCCACGTACTGAATAGATCACGGTGGATACAGTACAAAATATAATTGAAGTTATGGTTATACCTTGTAAACGTACGATATGAACGGATTGCTATGAACCTTAACAAATTGTATTGTACTATCCGTTTGACGGATCAACGCAACGGATGAACGGAGAGCTATGAACCCACCTTTACGGAGCTACGTTATCGCTTATTTCATACCGATACGGAACACCGAATCGGCCTTAGAAATAAAGATAGAGGACGCATACAAGATTCTCTATTAATATTATGGGATGCACGACACATACGCCTTTTAGGGCCGGTTGCACAATAGTATATTAAGATACAAGTGTATAATCAAGTCTTTAAAGCACGCGCAACGAGTTTAAGGGCACGACGCAAAGCGGAGTGCCTTTAACGTTGCAAGTGCTTTAAAGACCAATTATACACGTGTATCTTATAGTATTTTTTATTATACCTGCAGTATAATTTAAAAATAGGAAATACAATGAAGTCATATTGACGTTATACCTTAGACCATATAGTACATGGACTGCTAATTGTAACTAAAATATGGTCAAGGACATCGCCTGGGTATGTGAGTTTCAGGGTAAACGAGTCTGTCCGAAGTTGTCCGATTAGACACGATTTGAGACTGTCAACCTATAAATTAACAAACGTCAATTAATTAATCGCGTAGATATGGCAAAAAAAGCAAACCTATTCTTATTTGTGGACGTATAGAAGATAATCAAGAGTATTTAAAGCTTCCCGTACTACGCGGTTACCATAAATCTACTCTTTACGCGATCCGAGTGGTGTTCATACGACTTTAGTTTACCCTGAGATTCACATACCCACGACTACAGTGCCCTCTATCCGTGACCACCCATTTTGTATTGAAAGCATAGGGCGAATAGCAGTCCATGTACTATATGGTCTAAGCGTTATACTCGAATACATGTCTAATTAAGTGGGCGGGGTGTTCGTAATTTCACGATTGCCATGGAAATGTCACTTGACGTTTGCTTATAAAAATCATCGTCTTTGTGAATTAAAAGATTTCCGTTGAAAAAGATAATACACCGTCCATTAAATCGATTGTTGTAAAATCTAAACAAACGTTGGTAGGTGTAAAATCCAACTCCAGTAAAGCCTATTATAAAGAATATGAAAAGATGTTTCCATGGATGAATAGGAAGTTACTTACGAATACAGTCTTAAATGCATCCATAATGCTGGCATATATGAAGGAAATGTCAAAGGGATTTAAATCTTCTATATTTTGGTGCATTCATTCAAAACTTTAAAGCAATGCTGCGATTAAAAAGTGGAACAGATTTGGAAGCATGCCCTAAATTACGCGCGTTTGTGAAAGCTTCAACCAAAGGATAGGTACAAAAGCCAAAGAAATGTTCTGCATTTACAGAAAGAGACCTAAGAGGATTTTTTATTTCATCCAGATGACAGTTTCAAAAGTCATACTTGAAGTATCGTAGTATGAACAGATGCAGTATTTTTTTCTCTAAAAAAACGTATTTAGACTTTTGCTCTAAAATAATTAGGGGAGCTAGTAATTGACTAAAGAAATTACCATTGAAATCCCTATGCTGCGTCGCGCTAGGCACCACCCGGTATAAGAGAAGTATATGGTTTTAGCGTATGTCTGCACATATCTGAAATTGATTCACCAATCAATGACATTATTTTTTTCAAACTTTGAGGGCCTTAGCAAAGTACTCCGAATGCGAACCGATTTTGGTTGCACAAAAAATACTTCAAGATATTGAAATACTTCTACTGAAATTCGTATGCGATTCTTTACGAAGGGGCGCAATGTAATGCTCCCCCTTGCCGCCATTTGAGCATGCTACGCCACTGTGTGAAACTGGTTGCATTCATTAGTGCTTACGGGATTTTTTAGATATTTAATAATTCACATACTGTGATAAGTGTGTTCTGTTTTAATCTTCAAATGTAAAGAAAATCGTCAGTATGCTTCGTATTATGCTTATAATTTAAACCAAAATTTAACTACACCTCTTGTTATCAAAAATTATTAGGGAAAACGCAATTAGGAAAATGACTGGCTTTGCATTAAAAATAAAAACAAAAACTGGACAGCATGTGCTTAGAACGTTGAGTGGTGAAAGTACTGTAGAAAAACTAAAAACGGAAGTCTCAGCATTGGAAAATATACCCATAAATCGTTTACAAATTCTAAGTGGGTTTCCTCCAAAACCGTTTGACCTAACCTCCAACACTACATTACTAAGCGAACTGGGCATTAAATCAGGCGATACACTAATTGTAGAAGAAAAAGCGGTAGCAGCAGAAGTGTCCAGTTTTAGTTCTAAAAGCACGGAAGATGCCAGACATCATGTTGCAGAGAATCAAGACGGCTGTCCTGGCATATTAATGAAAAAAATTGTACCTGCTGATAATTCATGTTTGTTTACCAGTATACATTTTGTACTGAATGGTAAAGTAGAAAACTCTGAGAGCGTGGCTCCGTTAATGAGACAAATGATCGCGGAAGCAATTTCGAAAGATCCTGAAGCTTATTCCGAGGCCATATTGGGAAAACCCAATCCAGAGTACTGTAATTGGATTTTGAATGATACCACCTGGGGAGGAGGCATTGAAATAGCAATACTTTCAAATCATTTTGGAATTGAAATTGATGTAGTGGACACAACGAACGCCGTCATTAATAAGTTTGGAGAAGATAGAGATTACGCACATAGGGTTTTATTATTATTTGACGGTATCCATTATGATCCTTTATATCTAGAATCTATAGAGGTAGGTAACTTCGACTCGTTTTAGTAAAGTTTTTCAATTATTATGTTTAGGGTAATGTAATTCAAACCATCTTCCCCGTTGACGATGACAAAATTTTGCAAGAAGCTGAGCAAATAGCAAAAGAAGCCAAATCGAGCAGGCAGTTTACAGATGTTAATAAATTTAGAGTGAAATGTATGATATGCAATATTTTAATGAGTGGCCAAGGAGAGGTACAGCAACATGCTAAAAGTACAGGTCACATGAATTTTGGAGAAGTGTGATCGTAGTAATAAAAACATTATTAATAAACTGTATGCATACAAACGAAGAAACAAATGACAAGTTTTCATATATGTAGTAATCACTAAGTACGTGTTTAATAAATACTTCCATAGCACGTTCAATTCACCAGATGTAGTAGAGCACTTATGGGAAAACCGTGCGCTTCACAAACATATTCAGTATTGTCGATTACAAAATAATGTAATGCCTCACAGGCCTTAGTTTTACTATTTAATTGACGTTTTGACACTAGTGTGAGGAACAATAGTATATTATATACCGCGGGACTGAAGTAGTACTTTTAATCCCGAAGGTACCTGAGGGATTAAGACCACTACTTTAGTCGCAAGGTATATACGATATTTTTCGTACTTCCGAAACTGAAACATTTAATAATATATATGTATGGAATTAGAGAACGCATTCTATAAAAAAATCGCTGCTTAACAAGTTACCATAGGAACGCTGCGTTGGTACAACAATCCCTATGCTATGGTAACAAAAATAATTTGGAAACTGTCATTGCTATAGTGTCATAATTTTGGTGGTGGGTGACAAAGGTGTATTTGATATTGATAAAAAGCAGCCAAAGTAGGTAAAGAATTGATACCATTGAAATCCAAAAAATTACTGAAATTGCCTTGTTAGTAATGTCATCCTTCCGGGATTTTCATCCAAATTTAATCCCGGCGGGACAAAAAGTGACACTTCAGTACTTGTCATAATGGAGTGAAGTTGTCACTTTAGTCTCGGAAGTAAGAAAAAAGTGTAACTTCCATAACATGTCATGACCCATACTGCCTTTCAAGAGTTGAATGTGCTATATAGTGTTTGTGATGAACTTCTAGCATTTTTTATTTTTTTTAATCTACCTACAATGAATACTACACTAGATAGACACTGTAAAGGGCAAGTTGCTTAAGCGCTTATTTAGTTCTAGTTCCGTAAAGAAGATACCTATAGGGGGTAAGGGGGCTTTTGCAATTAATCCATATATATCTGGTGATCAAAAAGAACTGCAGACAGTTTAAATTGGACGCTTTAAGTTTTTAATGTTTTTTACTTAAGGAATTGGCAAACATGTTTAGAAGGTAGTTTATTTATGTATTAGTGATTAAATTGATCCACCACTGCTTTTACATAAATGACTTTTGGTATGTTACCAACGTTATACATGTTTAGTTTTACGGAAAATTCAAACTGTCCGCACTACTTTTTGATCACCCCATATAAGAGAAATGAATTAATCATCGGAAGCCGTAATCGTACGTATTCGACACAGGAGCTGCATTATATCTCTTCCTTGACCTACCCCACATTCCTTTACGTATTTACATAGATTAAATTACATTTAAAGGTAAGGCAAACATCTGTGTAGGCGTCACTGAGAATTTCCGCCACGTTGCGAATATTACGCACTTTTATCTTATAGAATGTTTAATCATTGAATTTATAACTATAATTCAATGGTTAAATCACAATTATGAATTCAACAATGTATGTTTTTCGTTGTAAGTTGTAAGTAAGCAAGAAGCAACTACCTTTCGTATAATATGTACTTTATACAGGGTGTAACATCCTCCCCGGATCGTAATGCCTTTCCCATAAAAGATATCCGTAAAAAATGGAGGAGCAAAAATGTTTCTAAAAGTTATTTCTGGTCTCCAGTGGCGTGCTGTATTCCACTAGCCTAGCGGATCAAACATCCGTTTTTTTAATGGAACACCCATATTTTATTGAGAAATTGTTTAAAAGTACGTGCCACCATGCTCATAGCGTTTTCGATTGGCAAAACTCGTACTGCACGAGTGTTGCACGAGAAACTGAAGAAATCATGTGAAAATTGCTCTCAATGGAACATAAATATTCGTAAATATTTGTTGTCATTTGTCCATAACCTCATTTTAGATTTAGGTAATCGACAAATCTCTATTCTAAAAAATGACAAACGATTTCAGTATTATTTATGATAAATGATGAGGAATATAAATTTGAAATTCCTGTAAAGGACCAATTTTTGGCGTTCAGTTTAATGAGTAAGTGCAACTTTTTGTAAAATAGAAGTTATGGCTAGTTCATCAACTTCGCTATCGCTAGATGACGACAAAAAACTCTCCCAACGCAAGAAACAAATTCAAATTGTCGCACGTTTGTTTTGAAAATTTGTTAACTAGCAGCTCCACGAGCTCTCGGACCTCGTGCGTCGAAATTTGCACTGAGTGCGCAATTGTTGCATCACATTTGCCAATGGAACACAGAAAATTGCCCTAAAATTACCAATAGAACGTAAAAACTGCACTCGTGCAGCACGAGGTTTGCCAATCGAAAACTCTATCAGAAAAGCCCGGAAAATATGCGAACTAATTTTGAAATAATTCAGGCTGGCCAATAGAAAGTTTGTAAAACGACGCGATACATTCCGCGCCATAATTATTAATTATTCCGTTTTGACAGACACAGACCGACAGACAGACGGATATGATCGAGATTATGTGTAGACGTAGGTCGTAGACGGATTTATGCGATAGCGTACGTGTTTAAGCGAGTATCGGTAGTATTGCTATTCTGGCGCGCCCGCGTTACATTTTCAAAAATGTTCAACCTATTGTATTTCTCTATCTCCAACAATATCGAAAATACCTCGCGACTGAAATTTTTATTTCATTTCTGGCGCATATACAGCTTTAACAGTTTATAAGAGTGGTTGTTAAAGACAACATTCACTTTCTTTTTGTTCTGTGAGACGGCAAATACAATGAGCTTTCGAATGGTGCACAAATTCTTGAAAAATATTCATAAATAACTTCGTAAATGCGATGTAAAGATAAAATTTCTAACTTTTAGGAAGTGCGAAATTTTGTACAAATTATTGTTTTCTGGCTATTTGCAATCCCTGCGACCATCGCGCCCTCGCATGATTCAGAATCGGCATCTAATTCTGCACAAGATACGTATTTTTCAAAATGTATATCTTTGAGTTCACATACCATGTTCGAATTTTGACTCCCAGATTCCGGACTATAAGGAATTTTTAAATTTTGCATCAGAATGTACGGACGAAATTTCTAGCGCCCTCGGACACGCCCTGTCAGGGACTTTCTGAGCGTGGTGCCACTTGTACTGTAGAGTACTTTTTTATGTAACATAGAATACCAAAAACTCAAAAATCAATGTTTTTTGCAGATTGTTGCTCCACGTACTGCTCCACATGTAGATTAACTTTCCGACTTCCGAGGGTTTATTATTATTATTTATATTTAACCTACTGTTACTCCATCTGTTAGTAATGTAATGTAGAAGATTCATTTTTTCCGTGTGACTAGCCTCCCGGCTCCGGTATTCATACGAATCCCGGTTGCACTATATGACATCACGCTAGTGACGTCAGCGACGACCGGGATTGTTATAAATCCCGGCTGACAACTTGGTGCGATGTTTGTGATTGTTTACACGTGAGTTTTACGTTTAATATTTCAGTAACTTTTTCTCTGGTGCTGCTTGGAAAGTTGTCCAAAATTTAATCATCGCGAAAAGGGAGCAAAACGAATGGCTGTGTGTGTTATGCAATTCAGAAATTATCAGAAATCAATCTGATTGCATTATGTGTGCTTCATGCCTCCTGTGGAAGCACGTTAAATGTACAACTTTAAAGAAAATACCAAAATGTTCAAATGAATCGATTTGTTTGGAATGTAAGACGTGAACAATAATAATTAATATCTACGAGTAACTCTCACACTATTAATATAATTCGTATACCTATATATGTGTTCAGAATTTATTATATTTTTCTAGTTGTAGGTACGATTAAAATATTTACCAATTTTGAATAAATATTATACTCCTATAAAGTAGGTACCTACGTACTTAAGTGTATAATGCTATCAACTCTATCTTCAATGTTTAAATAACTTACCCCGCCGGGATTTATAATAATCCCGGTCATCGCTGACGTCACTAGCGTGATGTCAGAGTAAAACCGGGATTCGTATGAATACCGGAGCCGAGAGGCTAGTCACACCGTAATTTTTTTCATCTATAGGATAGGGGACACCACACCATACAGTGTCATTTCAAAAAGCTTTTGCTGGTGCTAAGTTCCTCATTATTCCAGCAATGATGCCAGAGAAATTAGAATATATGACAAATTTTTCTGTCAGAAAATTAACTAAACATAGAATTATAGAGATATTTAACAGAATAACGTTTTTTTAATGGAGCCAGTGGCGTAGCGTAGAGGGAGTGGAGGGGCGCTCCGCCCCGGGTGCTACTTTAGTAGGGACGACAACGTCATAGCTGCCATAATATCCTGGGTCGCTTTTGAAAATAGTTAAAAGTAGAAAACGATAAAAACATCTTTTGAAAATACATTTAAATTTTTGTTTTGTAAGCAACGAAGGTGACCATCGTCGGACTTGAAGATTTTTTATCTGACAAAAACTGAGGCAAAAAACCATGACAAAGAGACTTCTACATACAAAAGTTTAAACTTCTGTTATCAATACATCTTTTAAACAATGCCTATCAAGTAATTCAAATATCATTATCGTATTTGAAAATCTTACGTTTCTAGGTTCGACTTCAGAAGCAGTGTTGGGTAGGTATATCCTTTTTACCTCGTTATAAACAAATACGCTGTTATCAGGCTGTCTGTCTGTCTTTATTGTATTACGGTGTGTTGTTCATCTGGTACATGGATCATATAGGATCAAACGAAAGCTTATTAATATAATGTCAAGAGGTGCCCCCCCCCTCCTAAACAATCGCTCGCTCTAAAAGTACTGAAATCCAGAATAGAATAAGAAATGTGAACTCTTTTTTTAAATAAACAATAGAGGGAACTCAAAATGTTCACCCGCTCCTAAATTATTAGGGCGGCAAACCTTCATTGCGCCCCGGGCGCCAACGAGCTACGCCACGCCACTGAATGGAGCACTGCATATACAAGCATAGACGTATGAGCTCATATGTTCATCGTTATATACACTGCCTTTTTTTTGCCCCGAAAAAAAATTCTCAGATCGTCCCGAAAATAAATTTTTCTTATAGAACGTGACCTGTAGAATCCATAATTTCAAACAGTTCCAAGATTGGGCTACTAATTCAAAAGTTACAGCCCTTTGAATTTTCTTTCGAAACTGGTTTCTAGTCTATAACTTTTGATTGAGAAGTCTGATCGAAAAAGTAGGAATTGTTTTGGATTCTAGGCACCAAAATTAATAAGAAAAAATGTTTTCCCGAGAAATTTTGGTGCAGTCGATTTTTGGAAAAAAGGAAGG